TCAATGGAACAAATACCAAACCCTTCAAATACCTTACCATGCTTATGGAAAGCTGCTTAGTTAGCCAATGTCTAGGGATTAGCGGTTTTATTTTGTGAAATGGGATTCATTTAGTTTTGTATTTGCTATGTGTCAGTCAGTGATGAGTCTCAGATTAAATTTGCATAATTCAAAGAAAGACAATTTAAAAAAAAATCAAATTCAATCCCATAGCATTTTAAGAGTGTAAGACTGTAGATGACGTGCTGCCAACAGACTCCCTACCCCACCTCAATCCTCCCACTGATAACGCTCAGAGTAGAAGGCTTTCATCCTGGCAGACTCGATGGTTAGAGCTTTAAGTGTGACAATGAGGCAGAGGAACAATTACCTAAATTATATAAAAACTATAATAAGGGGCTCAACCCGATCTAATAAACAGAGTGAATAGCAAGGGAAAACCCAAAGATAATTATGTGAATGACTTGAGAGGTTTAAATACAAGTCCTTAATTAGGTTATACTTACCTGGTCCACAAGTCAGCTCAGCATTAATTGGAAGAGACGATTTGTAGCAAATAAGATTCTGTATATCAAGTCCAGCACTGCCCCCTTTCCTAAAGAACTTACAGCTGTAGCCCCAGATAAAGAGTCTTTGAGAGAGGGCCCAAGGTCTGCTGCGGGGCCATCTTGCGACTGCTCTCTGAGTCAGTTTTAAAAAGTTACCTAGAACTCACACTAATAAGACAATGTCTAACCCAGAGCTTTAGTATCTTACTATCTTCTTCCTTGGTCCTCATGTTCTAACTTTTATGAGGCACCTGAATGAACTGCCAGGTCCTCCAATAGCCCAGGAATGGCATTTGGGGCATGCCAATTTGGTAGGACGTGGCTTGGTCCTGAGAAGAGAAGGGAGTGAGGATCCTTCACTCACTGTCAGCTACCACGGTGTCTCCTGCCCGGGTCATGATTTCTTTGCAAAGTGAGAGGGATGCTGGATCTATTGCCACCACACTTTCCCAGGCTTGTTGAGCCTGGGAATTGAGGACAGAATACCACAAAGTGCTGGGAAAAGCTCAGAAAATGGTTCCATTAACCTAGGATGTAATTTTACAAAGCCCTCCTCCTGCTCGTAGCTTTTGAGTTTAATTAACCTCATCAAATAACAGTAATTTTCTAATTCTACTGAAAAGTTTTCAAAACCCTTACAGGACAGCGAGAAATATAATAGTAATTAGCTTCCCTTCAAAACATCTCCTATATCAAGCATACATGACAGAGAAGAAACAGAACTGATGGCGAGTCCTGAGGAACTTGGGTTCAAGAATTTATCTTTGTTGTTACATAACCGAGTAACTCTCAGAAAAGAATTTAACTTCTCTGGGCTCCAGTCGCCTCGTCTATAAAACAGGTAGAGAGACTGAGATGATTTAGTCCTCTTTAAGCCTGGCTGAATGGAATAACCTGGCTCATTTTTAAAATACTTCAAAGGCCCAGGTTCCATCTCAGACCAGTGAGGGAGACTCTCTGGCAATGATTCTTGGCCACGGCATCTGTAGAAGTGCACGGGTCATTGTGATCCTCCAGGCAGAGAACCACTGCATCACTCCCTCCAGTGTCTTTGGTGACCAAAGCTCTGTGGCATCCCGCTGTACTTCCTAGGTGAAGACACACAGACATAATGTTTCTGAGCAGATAAGGTTTCCCCATGGCCCACCACATTTTAATAAAGATTGTCTTTTCTCCAACTGAACCTTCTACCGTACTCCAGTGGATTCTGCCTCACATTGTGTCCAGACCACAATGGCATTTTGAAGACCCAAGTGCCTCATCTTGGGCAGTCTTGAAGGTAAAAATTAATGTTACATATATATATTTTTTCTTTTTTTTAATAATAAAGGTCAAAATTAATCTGCCCTCTAGAGTTCTTTGCTCACTTTGCTAAAAATCATCTCAACTTCCAAATATTCTTGTCAGGAACAGGGATCAAAGACATAAGTTATTGACCTGTTTCCCTTCAATCGTGGTGAATATTTAACCCTGCCTTCCCCATCTGAAGACTAACATTCTTTAACAGACAGTAGTTGATGATTTTTTCCTTTGTCCAAACTGCATGCCAGTTTGTTGGGGAGGGCAAGAAGTAAGGGAGGCCCAGGTTGGCACAAAACCACCACCCCGCCTGATAAAGCCGGACATCTGACCTGCTGTCAGCTCCACCCCTTGGTCTAGACAGGAGAATCAGAATCATTCAAGGCCAGGTATTCAGACAAAATGCTCATTGTATCTGAATAGCGGGGACTCTCACTGGCTAAATATTTGGTTGTACACACCCCGCAAAAAGAAAGAAGGAAAAGGAAGAAAGAAAGAAAGAAAGGAAAAGAAAAAGAAAAGAAAGAAAAGAAAGGAAGAAAGAAAGAGAGAGAAAGAGAGAAAGAAAGAAAGAAAAAAAGGAAGAAAGAAAGAAAAAGAAAGAAAAAGAAAAAAAGAGAGAAAGAGAGAAAGAAAGAAAGAAAAAGAAAACTGGTCCTTGTTTGGCTGATTAGACTCTGAAAGAAAGGTTTTTCCTTGTAGTGTCTGCTTTGAGACCATCGAGGACATGCGAGACCTAATCTCAGGGCCCACTTCACGGTCACACTGCTCAGAAAGGCAGTGCTTAGAGTTTAATGCTCTGCACTTGCTGTCTTGAAATCCTTAACAGTTTTATCCTTGAATCTGTGTTTTGTACATGAAGTCTGATGGGACAGTAGAGCATGAACAGAGGGCTTGGGGCCTCAGTTCACATGTGGTCCATGGTCCCATTTCCTACCTCCTCCTGCTGCCTCCCTGGGACAGGGGATCTCAGCCACCTGCTCTCACCTCTGGTGTCCCAGCCAGTTAAGCCTCCCCACCCCAATCTCGCCTGGGGAAGAACTGGGGTTTGTGCTCCATCATCACCCTCCATCACTGACTGGGACCTGGGGGCAGGCGAGGGGAGGGGCAGGGTTAGATGTATTTCCTGTAGCATTTCAGGACAGAGCAAGGAAGTTGCTCTGTCCCTGCCTTAGGCTAGTCGTGCTGTGGTGTGTTTCCTGGGTGAGTTGGTGGAAAGATTCCCCCACAACAGATCCCGAGCATGTCCCACTACGGAGACAGCCATTCCCTAGATTGTTGCCTGTCTACTGTGAGTTGGGGTTGTCAGCCATGGCAACGGGGGACTGCCTTCCCTGCCCCAGCTGGGGACCTACATTTTCATTTTACATTGGGATCTAAAATCATGTAGCTGATCTTTCCTAACCTGATTGCTGACAGATAGTTCTGGGTTTCGTAGAGCTACGTGGGGCTTGGGGAGGGCTATCAAAGTTTGATGTCATATGTATTCACACTTCCAGAGGAGAGGGAAAGATTTGCCTCTTCAAGTTTTTCCTCTGCTGCTAAATGTCGTAATATACATATATCATATATCAGCTGCGCGACGTGGGGCACAAAGCTCGCAGGCACCATTCAAACACCCTATGACATCACTGGGTGTACCACCCCACAGTGATCATTGCCTAATAAGCCACTTCCTCATCTGTGGGAGTTTCTCTCTTTTGGGGGCGCACTTCATTCTCAACATTATCATAGTCCCATCTCCAATGAAGAGCTTTGGCCCCTCATGGATCCATTTCCATCCCTTTGCTTTTTCTTTTCTTTCTTTCTTTTTTTTTTTTTGCAGCACTTTTCTTAAAGGATGAACTTACATGACTTTTAATTAATGCATGGTTCCAGAGGATCCCCAGTGTATATGGTTCAATCCCATACTGTGAATGGGAACTGTGCTGAGCTGGGGACTCTTAATGACTTTCTGTAGGGGAACACATCCCTTGGGTGGATGAGGACATTGCCAAATTTCCATTACCCTTGGTTCTGTACAGGCCAAGACTAACACCCCTCGCCCAGCTTTTCCCCCCAGGCCGTACAGGGGGCTGCACATAGTATCCTCTTCTTCCCAATACACTGCTCAAAATTGTTTTTACTCTAATGTATAGCTCAGTATTGATTTTCTTAGGGGAAAACTAAGAGAATAGCTCAGTCAGCCATTCGTGGTGAAGAAAATCCTGCAAGAGTAGGGGAAGAGAGGGAAAGGGGAGGAGAGATGAAAAAGGGAAGAGAGGTGGATTTTTGCACGTTTTTAGTCTGTGACTAGTGTGAAGTGACTTCCCTTGCATTTTGCAGTATGCTTCTCTAAGCAAAATTTCCTCTCCAAACTCGGAAAACTTCGTGAGCCTTAGAGCGGTCACCTCCAACTGCCCCACCCTCAACTAACTCTCTCTGTTAGAAGCAAGCTTATTGAAATATAGCATTTCTAGAATTTCTAAAAACATATGGTATACTTTTCTCCTGGAAAAAATCTGTCGGCCAAGTAGGGAGAGGTTCATGATGAAAGCTGAAATTTAGAAGCAACAACTCTTAGAAGTAAAATCTGTATTATTTCCTAAAGCCTCTGTTCCAAGCAAAACGCTTTTCATATGGAGCTCTTCTACTGAGAACTATATTGAACACAGCTGCTTGGAGCAAAAGCACTCACTTTAGATGGCAAGACCTCTGTTAGAACAGTCTGGGTTGATCATTTCTACCGTGAATTGAAAGAATGCTAGTTACCAATAGAACAAAACAGAAACCTAAAGGTAAGATTTTTTTTTCCTTTTTTTTTTCTTTTTTACCAAAGGAGACAGAAAAACATGCCCCAAGGGATGAGACCCAGAGAGTAACATAATAAACAGTGGATCACTATAGAAAGCTACTTGTTATTATTAATAATAACAATAGTCACTGCATCTGATAATCATACTAACTATTTAAAAAGTCCTGGGAGGAATTTTCTTTCCCCCATTCTGTAGAGGAGAGCAGAGATGCATAGGGCCAAGGTCATCAGAGCCCCTTGCCCAGCCTGGATCTGGCAGAGGTGGGACTGAGCCCAAAGGCTCAATCTCCAGCTCTTCACCTCTCCTTTGCAAGACGTGAGAAAGAATTTGGGAAGCAACTGAATGGGTTTCTGATTACCATGGCTTTGTTGGAATGGCCACCTCCTTGGAACTCAATGGTCCCAAAAGCATCCGTCGGGCTGAGTTGAGTGTGCTTGCTGATGGACCACTTCTCGGACTGGATGTCATTTCGGGAGAGACGACTCTCATTTTTCTCATTCTGAAGAACGGAGATACTGGGAGTGAGGCCCACATGCTGGCCGATCAGACGCCCACAGCAACACCTGCATCAGAGGAGGTCAAAGTGAATCCCTTGTATCTGCCATTATTGGAACACCCACTTAAGGCAACCTGCCAGAGAAATCGACAGACCATAGCCAGTCAGTCAGCTCTTAGCAGAATCCCATGATGTGGCAATATCAGGCAAATAGTGAACTCAGGATTTACTTGACATACAGATTTTCTTTTCTGCTCCTCATTATCCTTTAGCTGGATAAGCTATAACATGCCTCCCGGCCTTCTCCACCCACCCCTTTCAGACCTGCCATATTGTTCTGGATCGGAACCTGTGAACAAAAGCCCTATAGATTTTTTTTTTAAGACTTTATTTATTTATTTGACAGAGAGAGACACAGCAAGAGAGGGAACACAAGCAGGGGGAGTGGGAGATGGGGAAGCAGGCTTCCCACCAAGCGGGGAGCCCGAAGCAGGGCTCGATCCCAGGACCCTGGGATCATGACCTGAGCCGAAGGCAGACGCTTATCGACTGAGCCACCCAGGCACCCCCCTATAGATTTTTCTACTTCTTACTCCTCCCATCTATCAAATCTTGCATGAAAACCACTGAACAGCTTTGAAGGAAGAATCTTAACATGCACATTTAATAAGAGCTCTCACTCATATGTGAGTCACCTAACTTGTCTTTCCTCAATTGACATTCACTGTCAAATATCCAAGTCTGAGAATAAAAATCTACAGCTTAAGTGTTCCCAAAGAAATGGTGAAAATACTATTCAAAAGATATTTGAAAACAAAATTCACTCCTCACATCATGAAAATGTCCTTCATACTTTTCCACTACCACTATTATTAGTAATAATACCGATACATATCCTTCATACTTTACTTGTATGACTATTATAACTATTAATAATATTGTTACATAGTTATCAGTTATTAAATACTAACAATGTCACATTCATTTTATGAGTAAAATATTGCAGTTTTGAAGGTTAGGAAATCTGCTCAAGGTTACACAGCTAGTCTATATGACTCTACAGCCTGTATTTTAAATTGCTTGATTATGTTGCCTTTTCATAAAGGCATTTCCAGACATTCATATGTTACTGCATCCCAAATGCTTTCTACCTTATATGCTGTTAATTTTTAAGGCAAAATCAGGGAGGTAAGTAGGATACTAAAGGTAAGGTAAGTAGGATACTAGAAATGTGCTTGGACGGGAATCTGAAGGTCAGCAGTCTAATTAGTAATCTGCTAGGAGTCTTTTATTTAAAAAGCTCTTTTTCATTTTAGCAGAGAATGTTGATACAAACTAAGCATTTTGATGAAATGCTTAAAAGGGAAAATCAGTAACCATACTAAAAATACATATAACCCACTTATAGACAGTGATTAATTCCTTCCCAATGGGTTATCTGTTATTTTGTACAGGCTGTTAGAGAATTAACTGCAGGCATGGCATATTATGTGGTGTATACATATAATATTGCTGCAGAGATGTGCAGCAAAGATTAAAAGAAATGATCTTTGACGTTGGTTCCCTTGCAATGGAGAGTGATTACTATTGCAGTTTTTTCCCATAATTGCTACTCTGTGTTCTCACTTCATTATAGAAATGGCAAGATTACCTATGGGGGTCTTTGGTGCTGGGTATGATGTGAACACATTCTCTTTTATAAAATGCTCTTTCTATCCAGGATTTCTGAGCCTGAAAAAAAAAAAAAGAAGAAGAAGAAGAAAGGTGAACATAACCTCCAAGTATTTTTGCGTAGGAAACAAAATTTCATAATCACGTAATAGACTAGTATCTCATAAACCGAACTGAAATTGTGGTTACTTCACACATAGACACCGCATATAACAAAATCAGTTGCTGCCAGAAGTTGTTGATTAGGTCAACATTATAATGTCAAGTCAAAGAAAATGACCATAATACAAAAAAATGTTAGTGATGGAACCATATACAAATTCTTAATGATTTTTGAAAGCAGAAAAACATTGCTTTATGGAGGAAATGAAAAACACAGAGCAGTAGGTTTATATCCCTGTAAATAACAAATATTCAGTGGTGGGGGGAAATATATGTGAGTAAATATGAAGTTCTCATGGCTAACACTTCCATTTGATTTTCCTTATAGAAAGAAAGAGAAACTGGGGAGCCTGGGTGGCTCAGTCAGTTGAACATCCAGCTCTTGATTTTGGCTCAGCTCATGATCTCAGGGTTGTGAGATCAAGCCCCGAGTCCAGCTCTGCGCTTGTTGGGGAATGTGCTTGAGATTCTCTCTCTCCGTCTCACTCTGTCCCTCCTCCCACCTCTCTTGCTCAAAAAAAAAAAAAAAGAAAGAAAGAAAGAAAGAGAAATGGTAAGAGAATTATACAATTCAAGAGCTCTAATCCATCATGATGCTTTTTCTAAGATCCTAATTAGCAGTGCTTAAATACAGAAGGAAAAAAAGGAAATGGAAGCATAAGGAAGATAAATGTCTTTATCACAGTCCAGAACTTCACAGGTAATGCCTTTGGAAGGAAGGAAGATAGCACTTTTTCTTTTCCTTTCTTTTCTTTTTTAATTCCACATGTCTTTAAGCACAGGAAGCACAGCTTCTTAGAATGGGCATTGTTGGGACTGTCCACCAGGAAGTCCGGCCACTGAGATTGGGTTCCCTGAAGGATAAAGGAAGCTCCAGCAAACTGTACCATCTTTGTTCCAAAGCACAGTGTACATCCCATAGCTTTTACCCCTTTGTTTGCCAGCTCTTGAAAAAGTACAGGAGTCTCCCATGAGATCCTATAAGCTACTCAGAAGATTCCTTTTCTAGGCATTTAAGACAGAAGTTGTTAGAGCATCTTGTAAAGTTATTTCCATATGGTATCATCTTGTCTTTAACACAGTATCAGGACTAAATTTATGACCTTAAAATATACAGGGCCATAACAAAATAAATAAAATATACAGGGCCAAAGTGCAACTTAGCAGTTTACTTGGCCTCAGTGACCAGTGTTAACTGTTAACAAGCCCCTGTATGTTGGCTGTAATTAATACTGAATCTGCCAAGGACCCAAACATCTATATAAACTGTGCGAGGGTCTGGTTTGCTTTCAATCCTTAGTGTCCCACCTCTCTCCTCTCTCATGATGGAGTCTATGCAAGCCTGTAGCACAGAAGGCAGTGGTTATCTCATATGACAAAGAACATTGTAAAAGTAGCAACATGAGGGATGCTTGCACTTCTCAGTGTTTATGCACTATCTACATGAAGAGGAGCACCTAGCCTGTCTCTGAGATCCCTGGGTCCAGGTGGCCCTCTGCACCCTCAAACCACAAAGGTAACGTTTGCCATTCTGTTTGTCAGCTGGGCATGAAGAAAGCCCCAGTGTCTATTCACAAAGATTTTTCTTCTCAAATATATAGGAAAAGCTAGTGGCTGCATCTTAGCAACAGAAATGAGCTGAGCAGCGTAGATAACCAGGCTTTATCTTTGTGAAAAGCCTGTAAGTTAGACTATTCATAGGCTGTGATTTTTCCTAGACACTGAATACTTTCATTGATAACATCTCTTGGCAGAAAGACGGTAAAAATATTCCTCACTGGACATTTGAAACCAACTTTCCCTACACCTTGGGGAGCAGGAAAGGGAGAATGCACTTTCCTTTCTTCTTTGTGGCCCACTTTGGCTAGAATTCAGAAGGATCTTTTGGGGAAGGATCTGCAAATTTTGGGGAGTGCCAACCAATACTTCCCGAGAGAAAGAAGGCACGGCAGTATTACGGATAGAGTTGAGAGGTTTGCTGTTAGAAAAAGTGGCATGAGTGGGACTCTATGGGCTGGACAAAGTCACATAATTTTTGTGGTCCTCAGTTTTTCTCATCTATAAAATGGGCACAATAATAATAGCTGACACACCAAGTTGTTATCTTTATTATTTGGGTACCATGCTTCAATTCAAGAAAAGGGACCCGTGCTGGGTTGGTTCTGGTGCTAAAAGTTCAGATGCATGTTCACACAAGAGCACTATGAATCTGCTATAATAGACCTGACCCAGTTTGATTTCTCTTTGCATTGGGGATCATAGGCTCCAAGAAGGCCTAGTTGGCCACTAAAAATGGTATATAGAAAAGTTATTTAATATACCTGAGTCTTTTCTATAAAACGAGGATAATCATAGCCACCTCAGAACATTGTTGTATTTACCAAAGCACATGACTCAGGGAGAGCACCTGGAACTTAGTAGGTGCTCAATATTTAACATTTACAAAGGGCTCCTCATGTGCCTGGAAATATGCCATATGTGTATTATCTCCATGGATCCTCATACTACCCCATGAGGGAAGTACTACTATTATATCCATTTTACCATTGAAGAAATTGAGGCAGAGAGATGCAGCAAGTACATTTTAAAGCCAGAGTTTGAACTTGCGCAGTCTGACTAGAGTTCACACTCTTACCCACTCTGCTAAACTGCCTTTCCAAATTACATGTTATTGATACTAAATACCCTTGATCTGGGCAGTGCCATCTGGGCATGCCTGGGAGTGCCTTGGTTTTTGGACAGAGTTGGACTCCTAGAGGCATGCCTTTAGATCCAGTTCATACTTGCATTTTTCCCTCCTCTTCCCTCACTTCTGTCCCCACACGTGGAGTAATACATACTCTTCTGTGTTCTACCTCTCTCTTTGGCATAAAGGATTAGGGTGGGACACTAGGAAGACATTGTAATAGGAGCAAGAAGTAAAAGAAGGTGGATCATTATAAGAGCTCTAACAAAGAAATGTGATTCCAACAGGATTCCTAACTTGAGAATCTGGGGGACCATGACAGATGAATTAGACTTTCCAAGGACACCTTGATTATTTGTCTCACTCATGGATCCCAGTTTCGGCTTGGAAGACCCTGGAAGTTTTAGTCAGAATTACCACATAGAGAGATTGACAACTTGTTAGTTTTTAAAAATAAAGTAACTTGACTTGTTTCAGTTTAGCAACTTAATTACCTTCTTGAAGGTGAAAATCCTACCTCACTGTTAGTGAAAGGAATGAAGATCAATTTCCATTTCTTATTACCAGCAGATTAACCATTTCCCTTGCAAAGGCATGGAAAATTGGGAGGGGGTGGGGAAGGAATGGGATATAAAAAAATCTTTCCAACATTCATAATTGAATTGAATTCTGTTTTTGAAAGAAGAAAAGTACAATACATAATAGAAAGAGTGCATGTATAACACATGAATTAGAAATTCTACAAAATATCATGCATAATTGATTATGCTCTACTGTGGGCTTTGCTGTTTTGTGCTTTTATTCAGGTCTTCAGTGTGGGCAGATACTAGATTTTTAAAATTATTTTCTTGAAGAGGGCAAATTTGATGTATAATCATGGTTTAACTTGTTCCCCAAACTAATTCCCTTTTCTTTTGTCCAAAGGCTTTGAACTGCTCTGCGTGAGCTTCATCCTTGGCTTCAATATCCAAGTAAGTTAGCTCAGAATGGCTATCCTTGTTGTTAGAAAGCATGAAATAGTTTTGACATGCCATGTTTCTTACTGACCCTTTAATTCTCTTCTAATGCAAAACTTCAATGGACAGGGTGCTCTCAAATCTTTTCTTTTTAAATACGCTTTGGAAGCCTCATGTACTCAGAAAAGATGGCTTCCATCAGACCTTAGAAAATCACTTTGTACATTCTTTTCTAAAGGTAGAACGGCCACATCACCATGACTGAGTTTGTGAAGGGCTATTTTCTTTCTTGTCTTTCTGCATTATCAGTCATGTGTGATGTGTAATAGGGAAGTGGTTTCAAAGGCTAATAATTAAAGGACTTCGTATTGAAAACAAAAATGAGGACATTCATATTTTGAACAAAGTATAATGATTACCCTCAAAGAATAAAGTACTAATTTTGCAAGTAAAATGTACAGTCAATAAAGGATACAAATGATAGAAACAAACAAAAGCTGTAAGTATTGCCTCTAAAGGGAAAAAAAAATTAGGTTATTTCATTTAGTCAGGTTTCACTTCTTTTTCACAAAGATTCTGCTACAAACATTAGTTGCCCCAATTACTCTGATGCTTTGTACTCCTGGTTCCCCACCAGCTATAGGATCAAGAACTTCTCCAGGCAGGAATGGTTTACAAGTACATACATCGAGTATGTACTAAATCTGTCTCCAGAAAGTCTTGGAAAGTGCTACTGCAATCCACCCTTTAGGAACATAACTTAACAGAACAACAACAACCCAGACCAGTAATCACAAGATTAGAGAGAGAAAGAGTCCACTAAATCTATAGAACCAACCGAGTGAAGTTTCACTATGTTCCTTATTTTGAGACTCTCTTGTTTCAAATGTACACTCTGTCCTAATCGGAACAAAACACCAAAGACCCAAAGGTGCTGAACGCCTGTATTCCTTTTTGACTTTAGCTTTCCTTCAGCATCAACCTGGGCATTCCTTTGGTCTTCCTCTAGGTTCCCCTGATCCACTACTGGGAGGTTGAACAAGAAGAAAACGAGCCAAAATCATTTTACCTGAGCACTGACTCTGGGTGGTGGCAAAGGCAGTCCCACGAGCAGGTCCTGTTGCTTTCATTTTGCTGTGTCTGGGGCTGGTCATCCCGTTAATAATGCTCTTATGACCGCCCACTGGAAAAAAAGCCACTTGCCCAGCTCTTCCCCCAAGAGACGTTTCAAGTAAGCAATGAACTTGGGCAGATTA